TGGGAACAGCTCTGTCCCGACTAAATTCAGACTGAGGTCTGATGTATGGAAAAGTTTGATGATAAACTGGGCCTGGTGTGTGCCTATGCCCCGTACTGTTGCTCGTGCTGCCTACTGCAGACGCTCAGCCAGAATAAGGAGGTGCTCTTTCTGCCCCTTTCACCAGTACCTCACATTGGCTGTGACATTCTGTAAGTGTCACCCCCTGCAGTGGGCAGTGACATAGTGGTTATATCATTGAGTCATTCACAACAGTGGGATACAGTCGGGAGGGAGTTGCTCTGGGAGTCCTCAACATTGACTCTGGACCACATGAAGTCTCATGGCTTCAGGTTAAACATGGGCAAGGAAACCTCCTGCTGATTACCACATACCATCCTCCCTCAGCTGATGAATCAGTATTCTCCATGTTGAATAACACATTGACGAGGCACTGAGGATGGCAACGGCACAAAAACCATCGCTGTGCAACTCCTTGCAAGCTCCTACAGCAGATGTAACTTTTAACATTTCTTTTCACTGTTCTACACTTTTAAACTTAAATTATAAATCTGTAAAAATTATTAATAATGTTCTTTTAAATCTAATTTGAACACCCTGATAATTGTAACCTGTATGCCTCTAAGTCTTTTTGATCTGTACATCCTTGCTCACTATGATTTACTTGTACTTCTCATTAACAAAGCTTTTCACTGTATTTCAATACACGTTACAATAAATCAATCAATCAAATGGAGTCTGGGAAGGGGATTTCAATGTTTCTTCTACAAAACCAAGAACGTTGAATCTGCACTTTCTGCTTTAGTCAGCGGATTATGTTGGAAACACACCATTGAAAGCATACTGTCCAGGTGCATAACGGCCTGGTATGGCAACTGCTCTGCCCAGGACAATAAGAAATTACAGAAGGTGGTGTGCACAGCCCAGACCATCACTGAAGCCAACTTTCCATCCATGGACTCTATTTACATGGCTCGCTGCCACAGAATGACTGCCTCAATCAACCAGATTGTGAACCATGATTTCTCACTCTGTAAAACCAGATCAACTTTCTCCAATTCTCTGCTGCCTTCCAAAAACTGAACCAGTCAGGGTGCACCAGCCCCTGGGGCAATCAATGGAGAGCATTGGTGAGCCAGCTACTCCTTCAATCACAGACTGGATCCTTCTCATGTTGGCTGCTGGTAGGTTCACCTGAGGGTGGGTGAGGTTGGGGGAGGGTCTATGGATGCAAGGGTGGGAGTGGCAGTGGTGATGTGGAGAATGAAGTGAGGATGCTGGGGGTGGGGGAGGGAGGGAGGGAGGTGATGCTGGGGATGGGTGAGAGTGGGGAAGGTGGGGG